ATCGGGGTCCCCGGCGCAGCATGGATGACGACAGAGGCCCTAGACGTGGTCCAGATGAAGATAGGTTCTCTCGCCGGGGGGCAGACGATGACCGGCCTTCCTGGCGTAATGCTGATGACGACAGGCCTCTCAGACGAATTGGCGATGAAGACAGGGGAAGCTGGCGTCACGCGGATGACGACAGACCACCTAGACGAGGCCTGGATGAGGACAGAGGAAGCTGGCGAACAGCCGATGAGGACAGAGGACCCAGACGAGGGGTGGATGAGGACCGGGGGCCGCGGAGAGGAGGTGCGGACGATGAGCGGTCATCCTGGCGGAACGCTGATGACGATCGCCCTAGGCGGGGCATGGATGACGACCGGGGTCCCAGGCGCGGGTTGGATGATGATCGAGGACCTTGGAGGAGTACCGATGATGATAGGATTTCCAGGCGCAGTGCAGATGACGACAGGGGGCCTTGGAGAAACGTGGACGACGACCGGATCTCGAGACGGGCTGATGACGATCGGATTCCCAGACGAAGTGATGACTCGAGACCTGGTCCCTGGAGACCGTTTGTCAAGCCAGGTAAAACTCTGGTCTTCAGAAAAGCAGATGGATGCTTTAGAGTGCTTGATGGGTTTGCACGTACGGAGTGAAATCTTACACCAGCTAATCTCCACTGTTCTGTAGAGGATAGCAGGTTATTTCAGAAGAGGAACTCAAATCTCAAATGACTAATTACATTTTGATTGTTTAAGTAAATGGTGTTATTTTTCAGGTGATTAAAGTGAAATTCTAATGGATGTATAACAGATTGGGCTGTATTATTTAGTTTTAGATAAACTGGTCTTTTATCTTTCCTTTATTACCTCACCTTTTATCTTTCCATAGTGACTTTTATGTCAAAAGCTGGCCTGTGAGATCGCTCACACCAAATAACTTCACTCCCTTTTCTGCTTTAGTGCACTTAGTTTTCCTTCTGCCTTGTTGACTGCTTCTTTCAGGGCTCTTCTTCCTGCGCCAGCCCTTAAGTAGTGACGTCCTGGACGAGCCTTCCTGTATAAATAATGACAAACAAAATATGCTTACTGAACATGTCTGTACTCTTGCCAACCATGGGATTGTACACACACACACACACACACAC